GCCCTTATTACTACAAAAATCATAAGCATGAAAACTGACTGTTTATATTACCATGGTAACCAGACTTAATAAGATTTGATAAGGTAGTATTTAAGGTAGATATTAAGTATAATGAGGTATATCAATCTCGTTGCTATAGAAATGTTTCACCAAACACACTATGCCAGTCCCTTTAAAAATCAAACGTTTTTAGATTTTGTATTGACTAATTTGGTTTCTTGGTGGTTTTTGTATATAGGTTTTGAAATTTCGTCCCACGAAAGTATATCATTCTTTAATGTTCTAATTGGTATCCATTTAAACATAAAACCGAAAAATGTGAATTGGATATTAGTATTACGTCCTTTAGATGCTTCACATCACCATTCTCTTTAACCAATGGCAATGGCATAATGAATGATTATTTACAACAATTTGGCTCAAAATTATTGCATATATATTTTGTGACTGTGTGTGATGAAATATTTATATATATTTTACATATATTTCTATATCGCTCTACTATTGATAATTGAGCACTATTTTAACAATGGTATTTCTACATCGCTATATAAACGATATATTGAGCACTATTTTAACAGTGGTATTTCTTTATCGCTCAACAATTGATATATTGAGCACTATTTTAACAGTGGTTTTTCTATATCACTCTACAATTGATGTATTGAGCACTATTTTAACAGTGGTATTTCTATATCACTCTACAATTGATATATTGAGCACTATTTTAACAGTGGTATTTCTATATCACTCTACAATTGATGCATTGAGCACTATTTTACCAGTGGTATTTCTATATCGCTCTACAATTAATATATTGAGCACTATTTTAACAGTGGTATTTCTATATCTCTCTACAATTGATGTATTGAGCACTATTTTAGCAGCGTATTTCTATATCGCTCTACAATTGATGTATTGAGCACAGAAGCGATATTTTTTTTTGTTATTGTATAAGCTTACATGTTTGTTTATTTGTATGTCGATGGATTATTAACTAAGTATAATCTGGATAAGCCTTCCGTTTATCTGGTAATGTATTAATAAGTATAATGTATATTTACTGAATTACATGCTGAAGATAGGTTTCAAACATTGAGCGTAATTCTATCTTTAATAAACTCTGTTAACTATATTAATTAGTTGTATTAGTTAGTCATAACCAGAGAATTAAATTAAATTAAGTTCTGGAAGGGGGCTGTTATACAGGCGGAGTCTGTATGTCTAGGTACCATAAAGGTGAGATTAATATGGTTAATTGTCACAAATTTGAATTTGAATTATTGGTTTTTATAAACTCGGAAATAAAGCCCATAAACACAACATTGTGTAAGTATATAAAATGTAACTTGATGCACCGTTATGTGAAACATAGGCCAATTATGAAGTAAAATAGTCCATTATGAGCTAATAATCGTATCCTGCCTTGCCAAAAGGCCTAATCGACCAGTAGAGAAAGTCTTTTATTAAGATAATTCTCGCATTGGAAGTCAGCGGTGACTTAAATCTCTATAGAAAAGTTCGGTCTATGGCGGAAGGAAACCAAAATGGAGTCGTTTCCTGTACGTGAATTGTCCAATCAAAGCGGATATTACAACCTTTTGATTTCTTTAAGTATGATATCAATGAATAGAAACTGAGAGGTAATTGGCTGTTCCTACACTTCCAAAGCTTCCTGGGACAAAAGCTCTACCACCGGTCGAGGTTGATACATTAATTTAAGAAATAGGTAGACTATTCCCGAGGTTATTTTCCGCCCATGAACTTAATGATCTAAAATTACTTGATTTATTACTTTATGATATATATTCATATTCAATCTGTATCTAATATACCAAAAGAAATATCATTTTCTGCTTCTTTGAATTTTCAAAAATGGGATGCCGAGTTGGACTATCAGATGTTACGGAGCATAACTAGACTTGCAATAGACATTCGCAACTATACTGTATAAATTGAGCTTAAAATTAGATTCTAAAGCTTCTAGTTATCCGACTAAGCTTTCCAAAGGTATCATATGTGCAGGTGTCTAGTAGATTACAGTTACAACACCTTATGAAAAAAAAAATAAAACTTTAACCAGTGATTGTTGTTCCATAAAGCTGTGTCTATATATCGTACTCACAATTGCTAAATGCCATTCAAAGACTTTATGAAAAGGTGTCAGGTGTCTTCATAAGAATATAATTAACTCAGACCGGATGGTGGACAAAAAAAATCAACCAGTTAGAAATTACATGTAATAGTGTTCAACTTCCTTTTTCCGAGTTAAACCCGTTTGTAGACTAAGCTAATCATGATCACACGGTGGTCCAAGATGTAGGGGGTGAAAACAATATTGCAAATAATGGAACGACTCATAAGGCCCATTTACACGAGTTGGACTTGGACCCGCGGATTTACTGACCCGGGTTGACTGTTTGTTTTAACACGAGGACAGTGAAGCCCGGGCAACCAATGACGTGGTTGTAGCCATGCATCTGTCAACATTAACTGCTGAACCCGGGTTGAATTGGAGTTCGAACCTAGTGAGTCGGCAACTCCAGTGCGGCCCCGACTGTCGGAGTTTTCGACGTGTGAACAACTGCCCCCGGGCCGACCTTTTAGTGGACCAGGGTATTTTACTCTCGTGTAAACGGAAAATCCCTGGAGTTATATCTATATTGAATTGCTCTTAGCATATATATTGCTGATACTACAAAAAAGGACACAAGTCATTCATCGAATGCATCAATGGCATCAGGTGTAGTAGGAGGAAAACGGTGTCATTAATGATTGAACAGGGGTTATAATAAAACATCTGGGAACTAGCGACTGACTGATTTTATGTCTTGAAAAACATCCTTAGAAGTTACTTTAATACATTCAAGGCCGTAGCGTAATAGAGAGATATGCCTCGCTTTTGAAACGACAACCAAACTTCAGACGTGTCTTGCTTTCCATGTTTCTATGTCTTGCTTTATGTATTTTAAATCCATCCAGGGCCTAATTTGCCTCATTTTAACCTAGTCCTATGACATGTGAAGAAGCTATATATGGGTTTAAAAGCATGGGTGCTATGAAACAAATGATTAAACACTACTGACAAAATTGACAGAGGTAGAAATGCAAAGTGTTGCAAATGACCTGATAAAGTGATCATGAAAAATAAAACAATCGAATAGTTTGTCTATGAATTGAATTGAGAGTTATCGTGAAATTACTATTCAACACTCTTTGGGGTAAATTTAACATTTTAAACGCATCAAAGCGTTAGTTTGAATATTTGAAATCTTTCAAAACTGGACTTAAATACCATTTAGGAGAATTGTGTTGATATATGAATTTATGGAAATGATTCAATTCAGTTTACGGCAATATATACCGGTCGTATATTCCACATATTGAGAATGTGAAACTACTGTTCAACACACTACGGGTTCAATTTAATGCCTACAATTAAGACTTCCCAATTTGTTTAGTCAGATACATTTGACACCTTTCAAAATTATCTCATGGGTAACTATGTTGATATATGAATGGAATGAAAATGTTCAATCGTGCAATTTTTACTGGTTGTATGTATAGCCTACTCGTATTCCAACTTGGCTGCTAGAAACTGATTGATGAATAATGTTCAATACTGTGGGGACATACTTTTACATCAGAAATACGTTCAGATAAAATTGTGGAAATGCTGTTTTTTACTCAGGACACATGAGATTGCTTCAAGTAGTTAACTCTCCCTACGGTCAAATAAAACCAGTACAGAAAATCTGTTAGAGATTTAGACATTTAGCTCATTTTCAGGAATAACAAAAAGAATATTGCTAATATGTTGTTTATGATTTCGAATTTTGTTTTGCTGTTCCGATAGTTAGTACTTAGTTTTTTTTTCTATATTGGCACTTTGTATACCAGAGAATACTAATATTTTGTAGTCGCTCTAGCTATTATAGGATTATAAATTCTGAGAGCTGGTTTAAGGTTTCCTGTATCATCGAATGTCAAAAAATGTATTTAAAAAGTTAAAGCGGAAGAACCAATTCTGCAAATACCGGGGGATGTCACAATCTCTGTTAGTTGGCTTATTGGGAAGGAAGTCATCATCTCTGTAAGTGGCCTAATTCAGAAGGGAGTTCTTTGTTAGTGCCTTAAAGTCATCATCATCATTTCAGCATGGGTTATTTCTGGATCACGTTAAGCGTTTGACACAATGGAAGTTCTTAGAATAATCCTGGAACAAATCGAAAACTGAAAGAACGGAACTCTCTCAGCCAACAGAGACTGTCAATGGCTCATTACTAGATCTATTATATCACAGTAAAGCCGCCACGTTGGATGATTGGTATTTTGTCGAACACAAATTAGCTGATAAATTACGTCATCAGCTTGTGGACGGGAGACAATTAGTGGAGAATGAGAAGGAATTGTTTTCTGTTTACTTCGGGCTATAAATAGAAACAGGTCGTTAGGAGATGATTATTACATCGTTCAGTTTTTAGATTCTAACAATATGGAACTGAAATGACTTGAACTAGCTGGTATTTACTCCACTTAAATGATAGTGTACTCAAATTATTGGAACATTGTGCCTTTTTTACAAGGTAATAATAAGCTGTCGATTGAATTGCAAAAAGTACAATAACATCATATATAGGAAAGAAGATTAAAGAATACTAAACCATCAATGACAATCTAGGACTTTCCTATGAATAAATTTATGTTGATTTACATTTAGCTGCGTTCATCTGAAACCAAAAATAGATCAAGACATACAATATGGATCTGATTAAAAAGCGCAAACAAGATCAAACAAGAGCATACAAGCGCGATCAAGGCGCAAACGATGAAAAACAGATCGCAAGCAGCGAAATATGAAGCGCAAACAATTATTCATTTAATATAGAAGACTAACCAAAATATGTGGTCATCTTTCTACCAGATGACCACAATTGTCTTACATTCACCGAACCAAAGCAAAAATAGGGAATCGCATTTGATTCATTGAGTATAGTGACATGCCAAAATATGTTTTCGTTGATCTACCAGATTACAATCATATTATCAATCCTGCAGTCCGGTGAGGTGACAGGGAAGTGGCAAATTGTTGTGCATAAATTATTGACGTTTTAAATTCAACAACAGGAAGCCCTTCAGACTTAACAAAATGTTTTGCTATTTTTTTTTAAATTTATAAGAATTGCCCACATCAGAAGAGTACACAAATAACAACATATTGAAGTTATTGGAAGAAAAATTAAAAGAACTTGAAGAGTTGCAGATGAAACTTCTGGAAAAACAAATGGTTTAATTGATGTACATGTATTATAATCTAATAGTATAATAGCCCCAAGATCTATGTCTCTCAATATTTTATCTCGCAATCGATTTGATGATATTAGGTTTCGGGGAAAGGAGGTTTTGATTCTCCCAAAGCCACAGTATCTTGAGATACTCAATGCTGACATAAATTGGTGTAACATCATTAAACATCCACCTCAATTAAACCCAACCTTCTTAAATACAATAAGCCTAATTATATTTAATTACAGTATTCCAACATATACACTACGACGAATATTTAAAAATAAATATAAAAATATTGATGAAAACGGGTTATCAATCACATTTAAATCCGCTCAATAGTGTAATCTTAAACAATATGTACCCAAGTTATCCAAAACCTCTATAAGTGAATGTTTCTAATTGAATCTTTAACATGCCCAGAGGCTTTGAGGATTTATTTTCGTGTAAATTTGACTTCAGATTACAACCTTTCTTTCTAAGTTATTTTTAAAGTTAAGTCAAATAATTAAAAGTGCATATGTTCAGTAAAACCGAAACATGTGCCTCTATTCCAAGCCTCTGATAGCTATTTTGAAACTGGTCTTCTCCAGCCGACAACTATCGGAGGAATCTATCTGGAAAAGGAAAAGATATTTCGGACTATTGTTCAGTTTGTTTACCCAGTCATAGCATAGCAGAACTATCCGTCTCCTTTTCTACTAGAAATGTCTGGTCTGAATAGTTTTGTTCCGTAATAGATGTTCAGACTTCAACTCTAAGACTAAGAGCTCTTCCAATGTAAAGAATCACGCCAACCTTGTCAATGATGAAAAACAATGACATTAACAGTTCATTGTCATCTTACGTAGAAAAACTTTCTTTCATAACAAAAACATAGCTACTATAATTGGCATCATTAGTACCAAGAAAACACGTGGTGTTAACACTGTAAGTGGTTGATGTGTTTTACCTAATACCAGTAATTGACAAACAATGTAATAACAGATCGCGTTGTGTCTAAAGAAAGACTATTCTTCTAGAGCTTAATTACATCATAGCTTATAAATAAGGCACCGTTATTTTCTAGAGGCATAATAGGTTATTGGCAATCCATTTTGAAAGTGTTGTACTCAAACACTATACACTTGCGAATGAAGAATTGCCAATTATTAATGAGGGTTTGTCTTGCCCCCAACAGGTACATCCATTTCATGAATCATAGATTCAAGAACTACCAACTGTAGAGTTATTACCAGATTTGTACCAAATCTTGTGAACCTACCTTTTGCAATATGGGTACCAAAGTTCAATTTTGGTATCCTGGAGCCCACTGACGATATAATTGATGCCGATTATTCTATGGACCGATTTTCTCTCTTAGACGTCCACTACAATGATTTAAGGGTTACCCCCTGCGCATATGTGATATATATTTTGGGCAAGACATGAACCCTTTGCCCATGCACTGCTGCTTAAAAAAGAAGTCATGTTTGTTTGCGGCTACAGTTTATTTCACCAGCTCTCTTTCTCTCTCTTGTAACACGTGAAACAGACAATGTATGAACGGATTAATCTTTCTTTAAAGGTTACGTCGACCAATTTTTTTGAATGGTACCAGTGCTACTAGGGTATAGACAGAGCGCCGGAAAGCACAAAGAATTAATCCATTTTCGCATCTTTATCCACTGTTAAGGTATTTCAGGACACTAAAAGTATGGCGAGCGTTAAATTTCATAATTAAAGAAAATATTTTATCCACAATAATTCTATATAATCTGATAATGGCACAGTATCACCTCGAATTCTGAATAAACAAATGAACATCTTACTTTGTGTTTTATATGTAAGGGATAAAGTATTATCTACCGTTTCAACTTTTTATTTCCATAATTATCATTCTCAAAAGCATATTCATTACATGGATGTCATTTTTAAAACCAACAATCTCGAGACCGAGACACGATTTTAGCTTAAACCAATACCAACTCTCGACGCTCTTCCTTCAAAAGTACCTTTCGTTCCCACCTTAACTTAAATCAATAGATTACTGCAAGATGATCATCACGAAGTCATGTGGGCTCATTGTTTCTCATATTATCCCCACCACATGTCATCTTATTGGGTTTGGAATATGAGATGTCTTCCTTTTCGTCTCATTTCAAATTAATAACTTCTCTATTTTCAGTTCCGCCTGCAGAAGTGGCGGGAATCATAACTGGTGCTGTCACAGTCGTTATCCTAGCAACAGTCGTCGCCATTTTATGTTGGCGTTTCCCGTCATGTCGATCAAGAACATTTTGGGATAAAAGTATTAAAAAGGTTTTACGAAAATTATACGGTAAGTTCTTGTTTTTGTTATGGAGAAATTTTTAAGTCTAGACAAATCATGGCCGTCAGGAATCCGGAATAACTTAACCTGATTATATCTCTGACTGAATAACAACAATACGTGGGCAAGACGATGAGGCATGTTGATGGCGTAATTCTCTCATTAATATCAGTCTGATATAAAATTATAATTATCATATTAACCAGATGGGGCTCTGGGATATATTTTAATTGGATTCTAGGTTGTTTCTTTCGTTGGGATGCTAAGTGCTTTCCTCTTGAAACCATTGTCAATAACTTAACGAGACCGCTCCCTGGAGTCAAGGTCAGGAACGATTCTACATTACTACATCCGAGGTATCTTGTTATTTTGTTAACTTGAGAACTTGGAATACTCTTTTTTGATAGACAGTTTTAACAACACTTTACATGACATAATTTATTTCCAGTTCATGAAGTCATTAATTCCTATTTGTAATTAGAATTTCATATCAATTTTTGGACATTTTTTACTTGAGTAAAAGTAGACAGCCACAATATTAAATGTGATCACTTCGCCACCCCCACTACCCCGAGGTTAAGTATCTGATTAATAATTACTGGCCAAAACTAGCAATTGTCACATTAAATGACAGAAGCACTCGATGTTCCCTTTGGGAGTGACCTGACAATGTTCACCTTCTAATCATACTGAACGTAAATAGTAATTATACTTAAAGACTACTATTAAGTTGGAGTCAAGTTGAATCACATTTCCGTTAAATATTTGATCTGACGAACTAAAAGATCTCCCTGAAGCTATGACCTTCGGTATGCCACGAGTCATTTTCACAATGTCAAGATATTTCGAACGTCGTCTTGTCTTATACCTTGACTACAATGGTCAAGTTTGTTCCTGTAGCGATTTGATTGGATTGTACGTTAACGAATACAACATATCAGAGGCCGGACAGAAAGTCTGTAAACCATACGCCGATAGCTCTAATTGGCTGTAGTCGGTGAGGCCAAATTATTGACTTTCCTGATACAAGAAAGGTGGATATTTTAGTCAAGGTATAAGACGACGTTCGTAATAGCTTGACATTGTGAAGATGGTCATGAGTCTAATTTATGACTATTGTATAAGTCGATAGCTCTGATTGGCTGTAGTCTGTGAGGTACAGTCCAATCAAATCGTTGCCTTTCCTGATACAAGAAAGGTGAATATTTTAGTCAAGGTATAAGACGACGTTCGTTATAGCTTGACATTGTGAAGATGGTCATGAGTCTAATTTATAACTATTGTATACAAATGTCAAGTCTAGGTCTGAAACATTTCGTGACTATAATGAGTATTCAAATTTAACACTCTTTAAGATGGTCATCAGATCAGATAAGCTTTCTTTTTGTACTCATATTTCATTTTACACCACTATTTAAATATCTATTAACACGACTACAAGGTTGAGTTTTCACTGCTGTATTGCTGTGGATTATCTCTCCATTTGGTGTTGGTGCGAAATATAAACAGCTTCCGGTTGTGAAAAGGCTTCATCCAGTGGTTCAACTAGATAAGTGGAGCCTAAATGGACTTGGACTTGGACTTTGAAGTGGGTTTGGGCTCCTGTCCCGGGAAATCTTTAAAACTTACTGTATGCTCTCTTGCATTTTGTTCTGGGGTGCGTCCCATCAGGAATGGGGGCCCGTGGACTTGGTTCAACCAGTCCTTGTGGTAGTTGAGCCACTGGCTTCATCTAAACCCTTTAACAATGTTACTCATCAGTGTGGAGAAAGTGTGGTGCCTGGTGCCATTTTCCAAGGGCCATTTTGACCCTCTTATTGACCATTTAGACAAACTTTGGGGGACATTATTGATAGGTGCTAAGTTGACCACGAAGAAACTGCTTTGTTCCTAATTTCTCGATAAAAGGCACGCCAGTCTTTAAGAGTTCAATTGTGTGAAAATCTATATACTGAGATCCCAAGAGAACCTTTACGGTTGTTAGAGTTGCTAGAATGGTTGACAAGTAAATCACTAATGTTAATAGGTTCCTGTTTCTATAAATCTCTTAAGATCAAATTATTGACATTTACTTCAAACATGACACTTGTGTACCATCATCTGTTTTGGTGGTTGCTGTGAATAATTACTTAATATGGAAGTGTGATTTTTGAAGTCGTGCTCGATTTAAGCAAGTTTATTATAAATATAGAGTCCTTTAGACCAAATCAGAGGATAAGACTATATGCGTTACAAAATGAGCAAACCTATATTTTGCAGTTAATTGAGAGGATTTCTAACATGCATAAAAAGCTTGAAAATGTCTAGTTCCATTGAATTAATCTTCCTTTGAGAACCTTTTCTCTTTCGTTCAGTCATAAACGCGAAAACACTACCCTTATATGTATGATTTACGATGAACCATTTTGTTCTCACCGCGGACTAAATAATAATAGTGCTTACTTTCAGGTCCGCGCCAACATAATTCTTGTTAATTACCTGGGTTGAATTTCAAATTATATATCGACATGTTACAAGCATATTTTATACAGACGGGATTATATTTAACAACGCCTGGAGGACATCAGTTGTCAGTAAAGATGTAATTGGAAGATATGCTTACAGCCAGGTCCGCGTTGATTTACAGCATTAGTGTAACAAATTATTGTAATCTTCAGATACTTTTTCAATATAATTTACTCTTTCTAAGCGTCATTTGAATTGAAAGCGAGTTATGAGTTAGGAAGACGAATCTTCTAACAGAGATGCCTGGAAGAAGCAAAAAATCATCATAGTCGGCAAAATGACAGTTGGGAATTGAAAATGTCTGAATTGCCTAAATAGGTTTGGAAAATTGCTGAAAGTTTTTTCGGCTGATTATACAGAAATAATTGGTTTAGATCAGTTAATAGTTCAGAGCATTATGAATTTTATGAAAGATAAACGATTGTAATTGAATTGCCTCAACGAGTTTGAGCTTATTGGGGTGTGGTTTCAGTCATACACATTGTTTTGATATTGCTGAAAATGAGTTACCTAACGTTAGAAAGTGTAATATTATTTTGTTGTCCAGATGTCTGTTTATACTTTGGAGGTTGAGTTCATTCCAATGTAGTTGAATTGTTGACCTATACAATTTGTCCACAGTCAAGAGCGTGATCGATAAGAAAGATGCAAAATTACAGGAATATAAACTCTTAATTCTGTTAATTAATGTCATCTAAGCTTGAATACATGGAACATCAAAACAATTATAAAATGACATTTGTCCGCCATTTAAGCTAGGGATCAGCCCCGGGGAGTCATGAACTTTACAAATTGTAATGGCTGAAGACAGTGCGGATGTAAAGAGGCGGTAAATTGGGGTTATTTCGTTGTCATTAAAGGAAATAATGGTAATTACTCCGCGGTACGATACCAGATTCTTGGAACTATTTCTTTTATCCTGTTTACAGCTTCCGGTTTGTGACAACTGTGACTTTCTAACTAAGAAAATAGCACGTTTTCCATTAAGTCTAAATAGGATGGTGTGCATTCTTTAACACGCGGGATTGTTCGTTTGCTAATTGTACGAATAATATCTCTAAATTGCTACATAAAGGAGCATGTTCTCCAAGCCTTCCTCTTCTATTAAATGAATGAAGTAGTGTTCAAACAAGAAGGAACGAGAGAAGATAAGAAGGAGGAAGCAAACGACTTGAGAAAATTGATTCTAAGTATTATTTATCAGTATATAGTTAGAGAAAAGATATGGTTTATTTGAGAATAATTAAGGGCTATATCACGTCATGGTACAGGGCTATATACCGATATTTATAGTGAAATAATGAGATATCGATACGATATAACAATACAGATCGATATTCCTTTTCATTCTGATTGATTTACACTAGGCTAAATGTCAATTTCATCAATTTTATTCGTCAGTCATTGATTGTGCATATTGAGAACAAACACAATACATTCATTCCATTTGGGATTTCCATTTCGACTTGTTATTGCAGTCGACGTGACATGGATTTCATTTTCAAATATTTTACAGTAACCTGATTTACAGACGATTTCGACTCAATTATAATGAAGTTTCGTGATTGTCTTATTTTTTTTGGTTGAATGAAAAACAGATACGAAGGGGTAATAGTAAGGAGTGGAAACTAGAGTATTGTGACAAGGATAACAAATTATATCAGCTGGCCCATTAAAATATCTCTTGACCATAGTCTTAACCTTATTTAATTGGTCAATTGTAATCATGAAAACGGCTTTGATGCAAAGTACTGTAATGTTTCATAATATAATGAGTTTTATTGTAACATGGATCCTAATTGCATTGTAATGATCCAATCAATTACCGATTTACGTCTTATTCTATGATATCCATTTAAAACTAATAGTGAAGACAGCGAGCGATTCAGTTGTTTTGACGCCTTCAGTAGACGGTTCACTTGAATTGTTTATATACTTGTTTCAGACACATCTTTACTAAAGTACAAAAGGTATTCTTAAAGCAACCCAATTTAAACCGATATAGTGTGATTATTAGTATTCACCTAACAGACTTTAATCAGTTCATAGAGAACTGGAGCTTCCAATGATAGTCGACGATTCGTAGCTTTTTATGGAACTTAATTCAAGACACGTTCAAAGTTTACTTAGTTCATACTGTAGGGTTCCATATAGATTTTAATGAGGCTTGGTATATTATATTTTATGGTTTTTCAAGGCTAGGGATTAGTTTGTGACCGAACATAAAAATAGCATAAGGACATTAGGATTTGCAGGAACTGTATCTGTTTATTAAAAATGAGCTATTGCGGCTGATTTGTAAAAGTAGAGAAACTATTTCGATTTCAGACCATATCATTAATTGGAGCACCGCTAAATGCAAGTACTAATAGTGAATTATCCGTTTATTCTAGTTTTCATTATGGTAAGCGAAAATATGATAGCTTATAACAATACACGTGATCTACATAACTATTAGGGTTGTAAAAAGCCTACAATTTATTTTGTATTAAATTCGGTGGAGC